GGTCTGAGGCAGCTGAGGAGCTGGTCAGCTCCTTCTGTGGGGTCAGACTGGGTGTTTCTTTCCTGTTTGGACTGGCTGCTCCTGAATACATGGCAGGGCTCAGAAGCACTGTGTGATCCCAGCTGAGGACTGGTTTTGAGAAGGCATTTGAAAAAGAAGAGATGTGAGTGAGTTGCAGTGACTGTATTTGAGGGAAAGAAGGTCAGGTGAGACAATTCCTCTTCTCCAGGGATTAGAAAGAAGGTATCCAAAGCAGAAATCATTGCTTCTCTTTGCTTGTGTTTCTGAGGAGCCCAGCTGCCCTGTTACCCTGGCGTTTCTGGCTGGCTGAGCTGAGCTGTGAGTGCTGTCCCAGCAGCCTGATACCGAGTGGGTGTCAGGGGGCCCTTCCAGGCCCTTTTGCAGAGGAGCACACGTCTGCAGTACCAGCAGGGGAAGCTCAGTGTAAATGCCTGCTCTCTCAGGCTCTTGTTGTATCAGCCACATGCTGACTTTCCAATTGGCCCAAGCAATTTGCAGGGAAAGAATGGGCAGCAAGGGAATTATAACAGAGATGGGGCTGCCCAGCAGTGCTGTTGATAGGATTGTCTCTTATTATGTATGTCACATGAGCTATGCTGGAACAGTCTCTGTTTCTCTATCAAACATCATCTCTTCAATTTCCTTTTTCCTTCTTTTTTCTTCTATGGCAGTCAAAACCTGCGTATGCCAAAGCATATCCTAGGTACTTCATTGCTCAGATGAGTCTAAAGGATATGTATGTAAAAGAAAACAAACAGCTGTTACCCTCAGGCACCTTTAACCAGCCCTTCTTGATTCTCCCTGAATGTCCAAAGTGTTTGCATGGCAGCAGCTGGCTCAGTTCTGGGACAGTTTGTAGGCTTTAAGATAATGGTGGGCAGTTCTCACCGTTGGTTGCTTACACCTTTAGTGAAGGGCTCCTTCATGTGTGGCATCTGTTTCCCAAGTGCCTGTCCCATCCTCCTGGTATAAAACCACACAGTTGGAGCTTGGAGAGCCCTTGTGTGTGCTGCAGCTTCACCCCTGCAGCAGTGCCATGGGATGTTTGTGCATTGTGTGGTGGGGACTCAGCTTGGTTTGGCCTGTGCTAAGGCAGGCATGGTGCAGGGGCCGCGCCAGAGATGATCCCCTCAGGAGGAGCCTACAGGCTCAGCACTCACACACCAGCAGGAGGAATGCACTGTGGTTCCTGCTGGAAGTGATTGGTGGCTGGCTAGGGACAAGGCTTGGTGCTCTTTGTCTGTTTTGTCAGACATACTATTCTGAGAACGATTCTCATTATTTTTTGTGGATTGTCCTTGTCTTCTGCTTTTATCTATGTACATTGGACTGTGTTTGAATCTGTTGGTGGATGCCCCTGCTCTGGAGCACCATTCAAGATGTGCCTGGCTTTGGGTCCACATCTTCCTCCAAGCAAGCTCCAGGCTCAGCTTTCATTCTGCTCCTGCCCTCCTATTCTCTTTCAGCATTTTCCTTGGCAGATGCTCCTTCCCTGTCTGGCGCTGGCAGTACCCCCAGTGTCTGTCTTGGACCACGCAGCTAGGGTCATAAGCAAGCAGGAACGGATGGGGTTTTTCCAGCTCAGCCTTGTGTCCCTCGGTGTAATGAGGGGAGATCCCCAACAGATGGCACTTGAAGCTTTTCCCTGGCAGGTTTTTCCCTCCAGCCTCGCGATGTGCACATCCGTGGGTGCACGGATGCAGCATGAGCCTGTCACGGCACGGTGTGTGGAAAGAGGAGACCAAAAAGCGGTTCACTGTGTAACAAGGGGCGAGCAAATCCCCAGGTGACTTCAAAGGGTGAAAAAAGCATCTCTTTCCTTTTGAGAAGGCTTGGCCAGGCCTGCCTAATGAGGCTCTCTGCACCCACACACATTCCTGTTCTTGCACCTGGCAGTGTCAGTGGTACACCTTGGGCAGGATAAACTGCAGAAGGCATTAGCTTGTCCTCTGAGCACAGCAGGAAACACAGCCCAGAGGGAATCTGTGCATTAAACTAATCCTCACTGCATTGTCTCATCCCTACTGCCTGTCTCCCCATTGCACTGTTTGGTCAGGATTCCCACAGAGGAATGTCTCCAGGGGAAAGTAAGATGAGGCACAGCAGATATCCAGAGATGTCTTCCCCATGGCAGCAGTGGGCAGGAACACGTGGAAGTGAACCAGCACCCTGCCTCAGCTCACAGTCCCCTGCCCTCTCCCTGTCACCTCAGTGCCATGTGTTCTGCAGGGAAACTTGCCACTTGCCTCCTTTCTGCTCCTGGTCTGGCCAGGAGGAACATAAAGAGCTCTTCAGGAAATGCTGGAGCAGGCATGTGGGTCTACCCTCAATGTTGTGTGATGCATTTTTCATGTTTTTATCATGTGACCAGAGGAAACTTGGACTAGGTTTGAGATTTGAGATTTGGTTTGAACCCAGTAGGCAGATCAAAACTCCAGGGGTGAGAAACCCACAGGAACCAAAAACAGAGCAGAGTGATCACATGAGATGCTCGGGAACAGAAACCACTGAATTTTGCATAGCTCCAGCAGTGTGATCTAGTAACAGGCTAGATTACAGACTGGACACATACAGCTAGGGGCAGGGGGTACCACTTCTATTCTTGAATCTTCCACAGCTTTTCTCAGTGACCTTCAGAAAGTCAAGTAAGCTTCTCTGACTTGGGTTTTTCTTTGGGAATAATACTATGAATTATTCCTGGAAAATATTTTGCTATCCTCAGGTAGAAGTTACTCGGTAGTGTTCTGCAACCTGTATGTGGAGGAGCAACACGTCCAGTCCTCTCAGGAAGCTTTCTTTCCACTATGTGATGCAGCAGTGTGACTTGTCATCTACTGGGAACCCATTCAGCACATTGAGCCTCATCCTCAGGGCACAGATCACCTAAGGGTTGCAGCAGTAGGCTGTAGCTCTGCTTTGTGTGAGGGTTTCTTTTCCTCTGGGGGCCTGCTAAATTGCTTGTTGCTCTTTGCAGCAGTGTGTCACTGTGCCTCACTCAGAGGAGATGCTGGATGCTGTGGATTGATGATTCTGGTCATATGAAATACAAAGCAAGAAAGAAACAGCTGCTCTGCAGGTATTTGCTGAAACACATATAGGTAAAGGTTGCAGAAGCAGGATTTGCAGAATTAGTTTCTCTCAAATTGCAAGTGCCCCAAAAAAGAACTTGTTCATCAGCACTTCATCAGCACTTGATTTGGCTGCTTGCCCTGAAAGGCCTGGCCCTGCAGCAGGTTAGGAGGCCTAACACAACCCCTTCCCAGGCTGGGCTCCCCACTGCTGTCCTGTGGTGTAGTGGGGTGCGGTGAGCTCAGATAGAGCCTGTGATGTTACACTTGGGATGGCAGGTTCTGCTTTTCCCTGTTTTAGGAAGCTTTTTCAGCTTCATCTCTTCTGAAACAAACACCTGGGCCCTGGCATGTGCCTGCCCCCATGCTTGATCTCTGAATGGGAAAGCAATTATACACAGTAGTTTAAGCTGACTGTGGTTTATGGGTTATATCTTACAGACCATTACAAGGACTGCCAGTGTCTCCAGAGTTGAAATAAGGAATGAATAAAGGCTTAGGGAATTTTGCTTTATATGGAAAAAAAAAAGGAAAAAATTATTAGAGAGCCTCACTTGTTGGACTTTAGAATATATATTTGTTATGTCCCAGGAACAATTCTTATCTAGCAAAATATAACATTGCATATCTCTATGGAGGATTTCTGGTTTCAGTTAGCATTTTACTCCCTCCTGTTGGATGCAGGATGCCAGACTAGCAATCTGCTCGTCTGCAGTATTCCCTGGGTTTTTTTTAATCCATACAATAAGAAAAGCAGAAGTACCTATAGCAACATGTGGTGGCTTAGAGTCATAAGGTTGGATTGTGATTTCAATTTGGCGTGAACTCAGGGAAAAATAGGTGAAAACAAGTCCATAGTGTGAATGCAGAATGCACAGATCAAGTATGGTTTAACAGCTGAGATAGTTTCCTACTGCAGACATCTTCTAAGAAGGCACTTTCTGAAAAGCAAAAATTTTGCTTGCTGGCTCAGACTCTCTGGTTGTTGTACTCCTTCAAGAAAAAATACTTTGCTAAGTGGAGCTGAACCGAGGCCCTTTCCCCCGCAGCAAAGATGTGCTCTCTCTTTCCCACAGTCAGCACTTTAGGAGTGCTCTTATCTTGTTACAGGCCTGCTGGCTGAGAACTGGGAACCCACAGTTAACCAGCCTGCGCTCCTGGAATCTGTACACAAGCAGAGACCTCTGCAATGCTCCCTGGCTTGTCCCAGGAGGAAGGTTGGGACAAAAGGCTCTGCTGGCCCCCAGGGACTGGGAATGGGCAAAAGGGACCTTTCACCCAGACACGGGGAGTTCATCGCTGGCACGGAGCTGGCAGTGGGTGAAAGCCCTTTGTTGTTACTGCTGCCAAACGTGTGTCGGCGCCTTCCTGTGGGTTCAAAGTGGCCGGGAGCCTATCAGTCAGCCCCTGATAACTTTCCCGACTGTTTTGCCAGGGAGGTGCTGGGGGACTGCCCATGGAAACGGGGCACCTTGCTCGTGCCCGAGGATGGCTGGTGTAGCAGGAGCTGGTGCCGGCCTGGCCCCGCGCCTGCGCTTCTGTGGGGAAGGGCTGTGGTGACTTCCCTGCAGCTGGGGTGGCTCAATGAACTCGAAACCGAAAAACTCGAGAAACTCAAGGGCTCGACTCCCGAGCCCTCCCTATGGATCTGGCTCTGGATCGGAGGGCAGGACAGCCAGGTTGTGGGATCCCTGGACTGAGCGGGCTGCGAGCCAGGATGCGGTAGCGCAGAGCCAGCTACCAGTCCCCCATATCCCGAGCAGCTCGGGGACCCAAGGAACGCCGGCGGCCGGGAAGGGCCGGTGACCCTTTAAGCGGAGTCCCCGCCCCGTCCCGCCCCGTGCCACTCCGTCCCGCCCCGTCGGGCCAATGTGCGCCTCGGCTGCCGCGCCGCTCGGTACTCGGTACAAGTTTCCCGTGGCGGCCGTGCCGGAGGGAGCCCGGGGTGGCGGCTGTGGGCCGCGGTAGCGGCGGGCCGCGATGCCCGATGCCCGCCCGGGGCTGACCGGGCGGCAGCGCTGCCATGAGCGGAGCTCGGCGCCTCGGTCAGGGAGCTCTGCCATCCCGCAGTGAGCGCTCTGCGCCGAGTGTCTCTCGTCCCCTGCAGCACGCTGCCAGCTGGTACCTCCCTCCTTTCTGAAGCGTAACTGAGGAGGGGGTGGAAGGCAGAGGAAGTTTGGTGCTCAGTTTTTTTCTGTAGGCTTTGCAGAGGGATTCCCTGTGCGTGGCAGCGCGGAGGGCTGCAGGACGGGGTGCGGAGGGGCAGGGGCACGGCCGGAGCCGGGGCTGTGCGGAGCCGTGCCCCGCCGTGTACCTGCGGCGCTGGATGCGAGCTCCGCGCAGCTCCGCCGAGCGTAGCGGCAGCGGCGCGGCTGATGCAGATGCGTGCGTGTGTGTGTGCTTAACCCTTTCTTGGCTCCTCGGATTTGTACCATGCTGAAGATCCTCACCAAAAAGCTCAGGAACCAGAGTTTGAACGAAATCCAACCTTTCCAGCTAAAGGTAAGGAAAGCCGGTTTTGTCTCGGTTTTTTTTTGTCCCCTTCAGGTAACTACTGAGAGGGCCTTGAGAAGCTGGAAACTTGCAGTGTTTATTATGCTGGGTCAGTTTCCTCTCAGCCAGTGTGCTCAGGAGGAACTGGCCTAGGCTGTATTCCTGTTACTTAAAGTCCCGTTCCTTTGCACTCAGAGTTACCCTGCACAATTCAGATAATACAGAAAGGTGTATGGAGACAGATGTATCTGTCTGTTCTTTAGAATGTTTTCCTTTTGATTGGGTTCACATTTAACTGTGTAGGCATTTGCCTAGATATCTTTGTACGTGGGCAATCCGTAGCCTCTCAGCCCTTTCCAGGCTAGAACCTCACTGTGCTAGGTACTGTACAAACATGATTTACCTAAAATGCCTTTCAGCTCTTTATTTGTATTTCTCCTTCTTCTGATCCTCAAGGCCAGAATCTGAGCTGAAGTTTGCAGGCTGGATCATTGCTTTGACCCATAGCTTTCCAGATTCTTCTTACATCCGTTTTTAATGTTTAAAATAAAACTGAGGACCACAGATTCAGGATGAGAACTGTCTAAGCCCTTCCTGCCAAATATAAAGAGGAATTTTTGAGCCATATACTGCAGGATAAAAATGGAGCCATGACGAATGCGAAAAAAATACCAAATCCTGATTTGGCAAAATTGTTGTGAACCAAGGGATATCCCCTGAAATCAGCAGAGTTACTCTGGATTGGCATCAATGCTGTGGGAAGTGCAGCACCTGGCCCCAAATAAAAGAAGGGATCTGGGAAAAGTAGCAGCCCTCGTTGCCCGAGTTGGGGGCTGGGGATCCGTATACCAGACTCTAGTGGAGTCTTTTGTATGTGTTACACAGAGGCTCGTTGCTGTGTGGCTGCACTTCTGCGCAGCCACTCTGGACAGGCTGATGGCAACTTTGATGAAACATCAGCACTGCTTCTAACAAAGTTTGCCCTACTTCGTCCTCCAGGGATTGCACATTCTGTGGCTCTCAGGGGAGGCAGGGTTAGGTTTTATTTTTGGAAGTAAAGTAAGGGCAATGCTTTAGGTTGTACTGGATTGATTCAGTGCAGAGTATTTACAGAGGCAGTGAGGGTTTTTTTTAACACTGTGTTTCTGGACCTTACAGCTGCAATCTCTTCCTTTAACTTTCTTGTTTGTCTCTTGGAACCTCAGGTTGTGAAACCGTGAGACTCTTTGGAAGGAGCTCTCAGAGGTGGATACAGCCTTCAGGATGCTTGGAGGCATGCGGGAAAATGTGCATGAGTGGGCATCTGCAGCCATTTTGTTCATGTTAGTGCCAAGGTTTTGTGCTGCAGACAGGTGGTCTGCATTTTTGCAGGCTCAGTAGAGGCAGTTCAGCTTGCAGTGTGCCTTGTTTGCAAGGCTGTTGCACAGCCCATCAGAGCTGTCTCTGCAGCGGGGCGTGCTACAATGACTGGTACACATGTGTATGGGCAGAAAGCCAGATGTGCAAACTCTGGGTTTAAATCTGTTTTGTGGGCCTTTGGGGACTGTGTGCAGCTGCCTGGTCTTGGTTGAGCCTTGCAGCAGCGTACTGATTGCTTAATGGAGTGTGCAGTGCTCTGTCATAGGTGTTGGACCAGAGCTCCTTGCAGGTATGGACCCTGGCTAGGTGTCACAGGGGTGAGCAGTGTGGAAGCTTCTGGTGGCTGTGCTGTGCTTCATGGACCCTGTGTCAAGGCCAAGTGTCCTGTACCATTTTGCTCTACTGCCCTCATGATGTGGGGCTGCCAGGCACTGACCAGACTCAGCCTTCTTGGCCTTGGTCTGTGTCTGTGCAGGTCTGTACGCAGTCTGACTTGTATATTAAATGCATTATTTAAAAGGTCCAGTGTGCTGTCATTGAAACCTACTGAAAAGTTAGGTGAGAGCACAGAACCAGGTCTGTAGAGGTCTGTAGCCCTGTAAGTGGAGAATGAGCATCAAGTTTGGATAGAGTAAGAATTGATCTACATTGACCACTCAAACCAAGTGCTTTCTGAGCTTTAATAAGTGTGCTTAGCTGCTCATCTCCTTCATTGCCCACTCACTTTAGCACTTTATGACTTTTTTGGGAAGTTCCCAAATTGAAGGTAAAGCAAGCTGCTGGTGTGCTTCTAGATTACAACTGTACTGAAATTAGCCAAAGTCCCAGGAGACTTTCCTTGGGTAAATTGTCAACTCATTTTTACAAGTGTGGAAGACTTGACCAATCTTGGATTGGCATCCAAGCTTTGGGAATCTTTTCAGGATGAAATTTCTGCCCACTATAAAGGCTTTATTTTTGTATGGTGTGTCTTGAATTGGTTTAGTGTGGCTGTAATAGTTTTCCCCTGCTTGGAGAAGCTGAGAGGATGCCATGGCCTTCTGTAAGTGAAACCAAAAATATGCAGTCTTTGGGTGTTGATGTAATGGACTTCTCTTTTTCCATTCTAAAGCTGGCCTTTAGGCAGTTGGCAGCTAGGGCTCCTCAGGGGACTTTGGCTCAAGATGTGCTGGTGTCTCAGAAAGTGTCCCTCCGTTTCCCTTTCACCAGAAGTCACCATGGTGGGAAGGGTGGGACTGACTGACACTTCACCTGATGTTGGGTTAGCCTGCTCGGCCAGCAGTTTCTGATAAGGGTGGCTGGGCTGTCAAGTGTGATAGTTAGGGTTCAAATTTGAGTGCCTTGCCTTGGAAGACAGCTGACCTTGCTTCACAGAATCCCAGAATGGGTAGGGTTGGAAGGGATCATCTGTTCCAGGCTCCCTGCTCAAGCAGGGTCATGCTAGAGCATGTGGCACAGGATTGTGTCCAGGGAGCTCTTGAATAACTCCAGGGAGGAAAACTCCACAACCTCTCTGGACTTGGTTGCCCACACAGTAAAGATGTTCTTCCTCATGTTCAGGTGGGACTTCCTGTGCATCCGTCTGTTCCTGCCTGTTGCCCCTTGTCCTATTGCTCAGCACCACTGAGAAGAGCCTGGTTCCGCCTTCTTGACACCCCCTCTTTAGGTGTTTATATACATTGGTGAGATTCTCTCTATTGCCTCTGTTTGAAACTGACCAGGCCCAGCTCCCTCAGCCTTCCCTGGTAAGAGAGATGTTCCAGTCCCTTAATAATCATTGTTACCCTCCACTGGACCCACTCAGGAGCCCCACGTCCCTCTTGTACTGAGGAGCCCAGCACTGGACACAGCACTCCAGATGTGCCTCACCAGGGCTGAGCAGAGAGGCAGGATCACCTTGACCTGCTGGCAGTGCTCTTCCTAATGCACCCCAGGATACCAGTGGTCTCCTTGGCCATAGGACACGCTGCTGGCTCATGGATGGCTTATTGTTCAGCAGGACCCTCAGGTCCTTCTCCACAGAGCTCCTTTCCAGCACCTGAGCTTGTGCAGGTCCATGTGATTATTCTTCCGCAGGTGCAGGACTCTACATTTACCTTTGTTGAATTTCAGAAGATTCCTCTGTGCCCATCTCTCCAACCTGTCCTTTTGAAGGGCTGCACAGCCCTCTGGGGTATCAGCCATTCTTCCAAAATTTGTGACATCAGTGAAGTTGATGAGGAGGCATCTGCCCCTTCATCCAAGTCATTGATGAATGAGTAAAACAATAATGGGCCCAGTATGGTACCTTTGGGGATACCACTAATGACAGGCCTTCATCCAGACTGTTGGGCACTGATTATGACCATCAGCCAGTTCTCAATCCATCTCACTGTCCACTCATTCAGTCCATGCTTCCTGAGTTTGCCCTAGAGGATGATGTGAGAGACAGTGTTGAAAGTCTTGCTGAAGTCAGTGTAGACAATATTCACTGCTCTCCCTTTGTCCAGCTAGGCAGTTGTTTCATTTTAGAAGGCAATTGAGTGTATCAGGCATGACATTGGTAAATTCATGTTGACTACTCCTTGTCATCCATGTGGATAGACGTGGCCTCCAGAATGAGATATTCCATCACATTTCTAGGGATTGAGGTGAGGAAGACTGGCTGGTAGTTCCCTGGCTCCTAATTCTTGCCTTTTTTGAAGACTGGGATAACATTTGCTTTTTTCCAGTTCTCAGACACCTGTTTCTGATTGCCACAACCTTCCACAGATGATCTTGAATGGCCTAGCCATGGTATTTGCCAGCTTTCTCAACATTTGTGGAAGCATCTCATCAGAGCCTGTGGAGTTGTGCCTGTCAAGTTTCCTGAGGTGTCTTTCCATTGGATACTTGTGCCCCTGTAGCAGGGCCAGCATGTCCACTCCCGAGCTCATAGCACAGCATGTTAGCTTAAGAGCTTCAGCTCTTCAACCTTCAGCTTCTGTGGCTCAGTCCAGGAAAGGAGAGGGCATTGTGCCTTGGTCTTTGGTCTACCACTTGCTTCAATGGTCTGGTGTTACTGGCTAGATATTAGGCCAGATTCAGGAACCTTTTGGGCTGCTTTTGAGCCAGAAGTAGATATGACTTCAAAGGTTAGGGATTATCTTTGATAACTGCTGGCAACTAAGTCTGTTCCAGAGCACTCGAGACAGAAAGAAAAAAGTGGGATCAGGGGAGTGTCCCATATGGTAGTGGAGTGCTTCAAAACCAGGAAAGTGAGAGGGGCCTGTAACTCAATGCCTGATTTTAATTTTTTTTGTGCTGGTTGTCCAGTATTACAGTCTGGTATAGTTTTTTATTATTTTCTTTCCTAGTTTTAGACTTGTAGCCCTGAGAAGCACTTCCTGAACTGTTAAGTCAGGCTGATCAAGGAGCTTTTAAAATGCATATCTTGGGCTTGCATGTGGGTTTGTGATGGAGTGCTGATATTGAGCCCTTGAAGTGTTCTCTAACCAACTCCTTCAGCTTTCTGTAAATCAAATGTCTTCTTCATCCCCACAATTTGGAGTAGGGGATTCTCACACAAATGTGTTTCTTCCAAGTTTCTCTTTAACTCTTGGGGCCTTACTATTTATGTAGTGGCTCAAGTGTGGGTGTCTGTTTTCTGAGCTTTGCTTGCAAGCAAGCTC